TGGACTTCTAACTTTACGTCTGCAAAATTTTAAAGCAATCGGTTTAGTAGTTACGGCGTGAAAGTGGAACAAACAAACAAACAAACAAACTCACTTTCAGATTTATAATATTAGTAAGGATAGTGATAGTGATTATGGTACAAACCTCCAAATCTCATAGAACATATCTCTCTGCTTTTTAAAAGTCTGAAAACTGAGCATCGATGGGAAATTATCGATATTATCAGTCTCAGAGTTGAAGCAAACAACGCCGTTAGACTGAGACTCGCTCTGTCTCAACTTATCCTGATTGTTTTCGGCCTCACACCGGAGCCCGTAGCAGTTTAGCAAGAACTTTGCCAAGTCCGGGTAAAAACTCCGGACCTTTTTGTTTTCACCTGCGAAATGAAATTATTTATTTATTTTTCCACTTACATTTATCTTTACAGGTTAATGCCCAATGCGATAAATGTGCTCATCTTAATATCTACCTATAGCATATTACATATAATGCATTCCTTGTGAATTCACCCAGAGTACAACAAAATAATATAATTTAGTGCGTTACTTATGTCGGAATACTGAAACGCTACTCAATTTTAAGTCGTGCTTAAGTATACATAGTTCTGTCTCTACAATTTCTTTGTGAAATGACAGAGACGGCACGATATTTGAGCACGACTTAAAATTGAGTAACGTTTCAGTATTCCGGCATTAGTCAGTTAGTTTTCATATTATAAAAATTCTATTTGATACTGTGGTTCTTGGAAATGTGATTACAAATTATTCAATCTCAATTTAACTAATTGTGCCCGGTATATGGCAATAGGCTCACCCCCTATTACATGGGACTCATAACATAAATAATGAAAAGTGGGTGTTACATTGTACAGTGGCATAATGTGCACCTCTGTATACTCCTTCGGGAATAAAAGGCGTGATGTTATGTTCTGTTACGTCAATTTATCTAAAATTTTGTATTAATTACCTAAATGAAAAAAAGTAAATCAGTAACATATTTGCCGAGCGAAACATGAATCAGGAGTACAATTTTTCTTTTTATAAAAACGTTGCCCCACACTAGGATTTCCTCCCGTGTCGTGTGTACGTTTACAAACATATAAGTTCACATACACATCACACACAGACACGGAACAACAATTTGTGGATCACACAAAGAGCTGCTCCGTGCGGGAATCGGACCCGCTACACGTTGCGTGGCAGCCAGATGCCCAGCCACCGCGTCAACCGATTCTCAGAATAACTGTTTGTAAGATCAATAATTTAAATTCATAATCTAACAACGCTAAAGGAAATTTCAAAACACAAAAAAAAACAGATGACTACATACCTAAAGTTTTCAAAGAGCTTTTATCGAGTATAACTTCCAATATAACTCGTTGGTGCCAAAGTGATTTAACTGCAAAATACGTACTATTGTGTATAGTTTTTAACAAATACCCCATATCGTTCTCCTTTAACTTATTCTGAGCCAACACAAAGTCATCCTCAAACTGCTTCGATATCAAAATGGATATCAAAAAATATATCTCCGTGTTCAAACTCAGTATAAGATTGCTCGTCATCAAAATTTCATATATTTCCACCAACAAATCAAGTTTATCTTTAAACAGAATCATTGCCACATCACTTTTGACATAACTTTGACATTTTTCTATTGAATTCTTTTGAGTAATCTTTATTTGCGGAGTCGCTATCACTTTTTGGGGAGACGAAGTGTTCAGTATGTTGAATTTTTCCATCAGTTTATGCCTTTCTTGCTTCAAAAAGTTCCTCTCAGCCTCAAAACTATTTGTTTCTTTAACTTGAATCCGTTGTTGTTTAAAAACTGAGTTCTCTTCGACTAAAGACGGTGATGTCTGTATAGACTCCGCACTAAAACTGTTTAATGATATACTTTTTTGTGACTTATCAATATTAGTTGGTTTGATCCTTCGCTTCTCAGACCTTAAAGAACTAGCTTTCCTCGCACCAATCTCCGGGAACATCTCCGAGTTAGTCAAATCTAACTCCGGTTTACTATCATCACTCTCTATTGAACTTCTACCTTTCTTCTTTTTACTACTCTTTGTTACATTCACCATATAATCTCCTAAACAGCTTTTTTCCTGAGATCTTGAATGCCGGTGACTCAGTCTTGGAGTGTCACATCGTTCATGATGTTCTTTGACAAAGCTACGAGGAGTTACTGGACTGCTGAATGACAGGTTAGGGTAATCGGACGGTTTGATGCCATTTTTCATCGGTGTACTTGAAAGAATTAGTCTATCAACTCCGGTACTAAGTCTGGACTCATCAGAGGATGCGGATTGGTTTATTGACTTGTCTTCGTTGAACAGTTTAGTTTTTACTCTCCTGCCGGTTCTTTTACGGTCTTTGCTTGGAGATTCATGGCTCCGTTGCCTGTCTGTTTTAACTGAGAGACTGTCCATCGTTCGGTCTTCACTGGTAGGATCACTGATGGATCTACGGTGCTTCCGTCTCGTACTGAGGAGTTTCTCCGGAGTGCTGTGTTGGAGTATTTGTACTGCATTGCTGTTGGTTTGTAAGATGCTGTAAGAAGAGAAGATTTGTTGAATAGAATTTCTATTTTTTTATTTGTGTTGTGGTGGGCTGATGGCTCCTTGGAGCACGCGCCGAACGCGACGTGCCGTACGCTCGGGTCTGGTTCTATACTATTCTATACTTTACTTTTATATTTTTCTATTCTATACTTTTATAGAGATACAGAAAACAAACTTAAAGATAAGATTAAGTCACAATGGCAGTTTTATCATTGAAAGTAGTTTCAAGTAGTTTCACGACCATTCTCATTTTGTTGATTTATTGATTATCTTATCTTAAATTATTATATAAAGTTGTTGAGTTTGTTTGTTTTAACGTGGTAATGTTTGAAACTACTTATATGATTTGAACTCTTTTTTGTTTACATGGCCCATTTATCGATGATTGCCGATCAAGGAAGACTATAAAACATTATGCTACCAATAAAAAACAGAAGTTCAGATAAAAACCTCTAAAATGTGACCCGTCGCATTTTGCTGACTTGCCACCCACTTGTATATACCCCACTAAACCAAACGTTGTTGTGGCCCGGAGGTTTAAGATGCCTGCTTCTCATACATGAGAGTTCGAGTTCAAAACCTACCTACGGCAAGTACCAATGTGACTTTTTCCGAGTTACATGTACTTTCTAAGATTTTCTAGACACCACTGACAAACAGTGAAGGAAAACATGGTGAGGAAACCTGGGCTTACAATTTCTAATTATAGGTTTGTAAATCGCCAACCCGCATTGAGCAAGCGTGGTGATTAATGCTCAAACCTTCTCCGTGTGAAAAGAGGCTTTGCTCAACAGTGGGCATTTATAGGCTGTTGATGTATGATGTGATATACCCCACTGCCTAAGGTTGTATAGACCGACTATGGTAAAAACTACCAGAACTACCAGAAAGTTAAAGTTCGACGGTGCATTAACTGCCGTCACCACTCGACACTGCCAGTATAGTCGACAACATCGTATTGGAGACTCAGTTGCCAAAGACAAAAAAAAAAAAAAAAAAAAATATGGTAAAAAATTATATTTATGCAAAATTCTATAACAATGAGCAATTTTTTTATAGCTCAATGGCTACAGACAATAAAAGGTAGACTATGCCCTTTGCCAAGGTCTAATCTATCTTTGTATACAACTTGAAAAACTCAATGAACCAGTTATTAACCTTGAAAGGGTTAGACAATAGAGATAGAAATTCTCTATTAATTAATTCATACATACAGATTTGTTATCCGATGCCAATAACCTACTTTTAACCATTTTTAAACTAATGGATAAGCTTCACCCAGTCTGAGCTGGGAATCCAACCCATGATCTCGTACTTAGCAGTCATACTAACAACCACAGCCTATTGTTGATAAATAAATACCATGCTAATTTAACTTTTTTTGTAACTAGATTAGCAAACCATATTGTTATAAAAATACCATGTTTAAAAGAAATTGATGTATTAACTAATTCATAAATAACCTTCATAGAGGTTGTAGCATGTCAATGAACTTAAAATTATCGACCTACTGCCCCAAAAATACTGGATTCTTTTGTTGCAAAACCTAATGTTTACAAAATTTCAAAGTCACTTACCTATCAGTTTGAGTCCTCAAAAACGATAAAAAACACGTCACAAAATCATTCTTGTTACAGCAATTTAATATACAGTCCTCAGATATCTCCTGAAAACAGAAATAACATGAAAATATTGCAAAAATATGCTACGATTTTCACATCGTTTTAGGTTATGATTTTACCTCTAAAGATTCGTCGTTTAACCACTTTATTAATAACTTCGAGTCTAGTTTTCCTGTAAGGACACTTTCTATTATTGTTTCAGGCATTTTGATGTTTTAACATAGAATTAAAACGATTTTTCAATAAAATATTGATTTTTGGCAGCTGCGCGCTCAAACTTCAACAAAGGTGCCATATTTATTTTTATTGTTGCCATAGTAAATATTTGCGTACGTCAAACTAGGGATGCACTACAGGCATAGACTAATAGTAAAACTTAATAAAAATGAGAAAAGTAGTCTTTAAATCTAAAGATCACTTTTAAGATGACATGATTTCAGTGATGGATTGTTTTAGTAGCTTTTTCATTAAAGTTAATAAAATATGAGACTATAAAAAATTTAGTTTATAATTGTAAATTCAATGAGTTAGTACAAGTAGTAACTTTCAAACAGTCCAACACTAGAACTGTCAAATGTGTTCGATACGCAACCATGGGCAAGAAACTCATCGAAATCTCGAGATTCTATCAAATCTCACAATTCACTTTACAAACTTCATACAAAACTATGATAAAAATTCGAGTTACGTGGTAACTGAGAAAACGTAGTAGTAGTTTCCTTTCTATTGTTAATTTTTGCGGTACTGAAAATGTACTTTGTTAATAATTTTTTAACGCAAACTAAATATATATGAATTAAATATCGCTGGCAAAATGTCTGTGATATGGAATACTAGTGGCCTATGTCGTTGCTGCCATGCTCAGGGCGATTTCAAGAGTATAAATGAATATTCAAACGAGATATCTGGAGATGATTGTTATGTTTTGTTAAAAGACACGTTTGATATTATTGTGAGTAAATTATCTGTTGCTATTTATTCCTTGCGAATTAAAAAACGTATTTTTGATTACAATTAACCACCTTGTATGACAATCTAATAAGAACTTGCAAGTGAAAAGATAGATGTTTATCATCACTTACTAATGTTATCTCTTTCTTTTGAATGAAATAAAAGATATAGGTACATAGAATATATATTATTTTACCCCAATAGTACAGGGGAACATTTCCTATTAAAAATTTAAAGAACAAACAATATCTAACTACTGCCTTTATAAATATACTAGCATTCTACACTTTTAATAGTTTTAATATTCATATCATTGACACTTGCTTCTTTAAATATTGCTTAATTCTTAAGTATATGCCTGTTAGTCATGGTGGCTCGGATGTTTAAAACAGCAAATACCAATGGCAAACGGTGAAGGAAAACATCGTGAGAAAACCTGGGCTTATAATTTCTAATTATAAGTTTAAATTGACCTACCTACATTGAGCAAGTGTGGTAGTTAATGCTCAAACCTTCTCCGTGTGAGAAGAGGTCTTTGGTCAACAGTGGCCACTTATAGGCTGTTGATATATAAATGTCTAACTTTAAAAAGTACTTTGGTCTAATTTAACATGTTGGAATATCATACCAAACATTTGTTCACATAAAAGTAGTCTCTGAACATCGGAAATAAGGTCTATAATGGAGTTAGCGGACAGAGGTCACCGGAGACTGCTTTTCATTTATTCCCTTTAACAACTTTCAATACCCAAAACAACTAATTTAGCAATCATTCTACTTTGTAACACAGCTTCACCCCATACCAAACTCCACAATCCTGGTGTGTGGTGTTTGCGGTCCGCGGCTGAAGGATGCCGTGCAGTTCAAGAAACAGGTGCTACAGTGTGAAGACAAGCTACGGCAGTATGGGTTTAAAGGTATATATCATTTTTAAGCTGCCTCCTTGACCAAGTGGTTTCAAGTGCGACTGCTGGGTAAGGGGTCTCGGTTTCGATTCCCAGACAGGGCAAAGTATTGGTGTTTTTAAAAATAATCTCAGTAGTAGCACGGAGTCTGGAATTGTGCCCGGTATATGGCTATAGGCTAACCCACTATTACATGGGATTCGTAACATAAATAGTGAAAAGTGGATGTTTACTTTTTACATTACTTACTAAATTAATAATCACATTAACAGTGCATTCATGTAATTTCCACTACATAGTTGTGCTTGCGATTCTATTCGATTGCAGACAAGTGAAATTAAAAAATAATTGCATTATTATTACACTTATTTTGTGACGAGCAGAAGGGATTTCGGAAAAACACTACAGTAAACATGGCGGTATTTGACTTCCTAGACGATATTGTAACATGTGTAGATAAAAGAAATCCAGTTTGCGCAATATACACGGATATGACTAAAGCCTTTGATTATGTGGATCACAATATCTTGTTAAATAAATTACACAGTTATGGTGTCCGAGGAAACGTCCTTCAACTTTTGAAATCGTACCTCAGCGACAGAACTCAGTATACGGAGATCAGTGGGCTATGTCCGAGGAGTAAGCTAGAAACGACATATTTATCAAAACGAAGACATATTAAATATGGCGTCCCTCAGGGCAGCGTTCTTGGGCCGTTACTTTTTCTGATATATATTAATGATTTACCGAAAACTACATCACACAAAATGGTCCTATTTGCAGACGACAGTACAGTCATAATAAAATGTAAAAATGAACTCGACTATGAAAATGAGATCAATAAATGCTTATATGATATCATCAATTGGCTTAACAAAAATAATTTAGTAATTAACTTAAACAAAACAAAGGTTATGCACTTTCATCAATCAGCGTCGTCATCAAGAAAATATTAAAATCGCGTATGAAAACCGTTGTATTGAGCAAGCAAATAAAGCCAAGTTCTTGGGTATAGTCATTGACGACGTCCTCAGTTGGAAGCCTCATGTTGAGGAGTTATGTAAAAGGTTAAGTAAATCCGCATACGCGCTTTTCCAACTTTCAAAAAAAGTAAACCTTCAGGCTCTTCTTGCAGCATACCATGGATTCGTTGCCTCGGTATTACGCTATGGCATTATATTTTGGGGGCAGTCTACAGATAGAGAGCTTGTGTTTAGAATGCAAAAAAGATGTTTAAGGTCAATGTGTGGTCTGAAGACCACAGACAGCTGTATTGCACACTTCAAATCACTAAAAATATTAACATTGCCCTCCATGTATATACTGGAAACAGCTGTATTTGTAAAACAAAATCCTCACTTATTTCCAAAATTGAGCTCAGGCAGAAATGTTCACGCACCCAATATGTTAATAAATTAAGCCAAGTAAAATGTAAAACAGCACTTATGTACAAAAGTTTGTTTGGTAATGCCCCTAGAATTTATAATAAGATTCCCAATGAAATAAAAAATACAACAGTAATTAGATTTAAAAGTATTCTCAATAAACTATTATTAAACAAATGCTATTACTCAATTGAAGAATTCCTTAATGATAATATTTTTTGACAAATTTAATTTATTTCTTGACAATTTCAATTTTTTCTTGACAATTTTAATGTATTTCTTGATAAATTTGATAATTTTAATTGACATAATTTTGACATACCTTATTTTTATTATTTTATTATTATTATACAAAATTTAACTGAAATTGTAATAATGTTTTAAATGCATGTACCTAATATATTTGTATGTCTATCACGACAAAACATAGTGGACTATCTTTATATTTAAGACCTTATTATGTAAACTACCTATGTTTAACAAATAAATGATGATTCTGATTCTGATTAAAATTAATAATTTATTGTTTTCAATTCCAGAGGCTGATATTTTGCAGAAAGATATAAAAGATGAATTTGTACAAGATGGTGAGTTATTTATTTATTTACTAACCAGCTTCTGCCAACGGCTTCCTTCACTTTCCCAGGGGTAAAAAGCCTATGTGTAACTCCCGACCATAAACTTCAAGTGTGGGAGAGCCATGCTTCGGCACGAATGGGCCGACTCGACCGGAGTGATACCACCAACGAGCAGAAAACCGACGTGAAGCAACGCTTGCGTTCTGTTTCGTCGTGTGAGTGAGGTTACCGGAGGCCCAATTACCCTCCCCTTCCCCAATCTCCCTAATTCCTTAATCCCCAACGATCCTCGAACTCCTAATCCCCAAAAGGCGGTAACGCACTTGTAACGCCTCTGGTGTTCCAGGTGTCCATGGGCGACCCCGATTGCTTACCATCTGGTGATCCGTCTGCTCGTTTACCGGCTTATGCCATAAAAAATAAGATTAATAGGTACTGTTTAACATTTTTTTTGTTTTTTACTTGTTGCAATCATTACGTGTGATTTAATATTTACTTTCAGAACTGAAAGAGGAATCAGTTCATGATACTGAAGACAGACTGGACATCAAATATGAAGGTAAGAGACATAACATAACATGACGCCTTTTAATCCTTAAAGGGGTAGGCAGCAGTACCGTCTTTACCTTAAGTCGGGGCCCGTACCCAAGGCCGTCATCCTCAGGGGACTCTGAAGTACCGCCCATTTCTACGAAGGACACACGCTACACGTGGCGCGGCAGCCGTCTGCCCTGCAACATGTCATTTGCCGGTCAGTCCTCCAGTGAAGCTATTGATCGTTCCAAGGTGTAGATTCCTATGGAGAAGAACGAGCAAGAAACTCCATAGGTCTTAGCCTCTTTAGTGCCCGTGATTGTCGTTAGTAATCAAGAGACAATCGCCGTAGCCGAAATCGGCAAGGGTTCTTGGCTTCGATTTCCGGGTCGAGCAAACTATTTTTAAACGAGGTTTTTTTAAACTGTCAAACACCGCGAGGACACCGGTGACCGCAACCTATTGTTCTTTAATTGTGTCTATAATGACGGTACTCAAAGGGTTAATCTCAGTAGTCGTCCGGAATCCGGAATTGTGTCCAGTATATGGCAATAGGCTCACCCCCTATTACCTACATGGGGTTCATGACATAAATAGTGAAAAGTGGGTGTTACATTGTACAGTGGTATAATGTGCACCTCTGCCTACACCTTCGAGGATAAAAGGCGTGATGTTATGTTAATTTTCCAAACAACCGAAGAATACTCCATAATTCATTACCCGACTCGCGAATCAACCGGGGTCGTTGGTAATGGTAAGTCACCATGTAATTACCGGGGCTCCGGCGCTATGCAGGAGTAGGAACTAAGAACGGAGTGGTGTTTGGTCAGTAAGAGTCTGGCGCTTTTGCCATAGCTATTATTGGAAGCAATTATAACAGCTCACACATAGGACCCACTTAGTTTTTAGTCAAATTTCCGTGGTGCTTGGCGACTGGGCTTCACCCAGTTGTACAGTCTCTTTTTTTTGCCTTTAGGATTAATTCATTCTGTCTCCTGCAGTAATTCACTGAGGGAAGTGGAAACTATAGTTTTTTCTTCTTCTCCTCTTTTAATATCTTCTGATTCACTTCGTTGCGGGAACCAAGACAGTTACTCATGTCCCTGGGACGCGCCGGCCTTCAGTGTTCCGGTGTTTTTATGGTTGTATCTACTGTAAATCCTGGCTTACAGGAGTTGCAGCGGTTTTGGCGAGCTTATCCCATGAAAAAAAGAGTCTGACACTCCCTCTCGCCTCACCCAGGGAGAAGTCATTTGGTAAATTTCACCCAAAAATCCCCTTACTCCGCCATGCCTGTCTTCAGCACCCATCTTACAATAGTGATAATGACTTTCCAGTAGCAAGACTGCCAGGAATAGAAGTGTTAATCCAACCTATAGAAGATGATGACCAGCCTCTCTCCGTGCTGAGGAGTAGCCGTGCCATATCTGAGGACTGTGACGTGGAACCTGATGCTGATTGGACAGCGCCGCCGGAACTGAGTGATGGTGAGTTATAAATACTTTTTACGAAGTTGCTCGATTAGTTTCGAGCTACGACGGGGGCTATAAATATGACATAATCAATCCTTATTGCACTTGTAAAACCTCTAGTGTTGTGTTTGTCCATGGGCGGCGCTGATTGTTTACCATCAGGTGATCCATCTGCTCGTTTGCCGACGTATGCTATAAAAACGACGATTCATACGCAAAGCTGTAGTTTTTCTAAATATTATCCCACACATCACACATCAACAGCCTATAAATGCCCACTACTGAGCAAAGCCTCTTCTCACACGGAGAAGGTTTGAGCATTAATCACCACGCTTGCTCAATGCTATTTCAAACTTATAATTAGAAATTATAAGCTCAGGATACGATGTTTTCCTTCACCGTTTGTCAGTGGTGTCTAAATAATCTTGAAAATACATAATATAATTCGGAAAAAGTCACATTGGTACTTGCCGTTGGTAGGTTTCGGGCCCGCGCCCTCATGCATGAGAAGGGGGCGTCTTAAACCTCCGGGCTACCACGACACTAATAATATTACCCCACATTAAAGATTTTCTCCTATAATTAAATTAAATAAAGTAAACAAGAAAATTTATTTACATTTCAGATGATCAACAGAAGCACAAGAAACAAAAATCAAAAAAGTACACCTGCTCCATATGTGACAAGAAATTTTCATACAACGGCTCCTTCGAGGTCCATATGAAAGCTCATAATGGCGAGAAAACCTTCAGTTGCCACATCTGTGGCTCATCACACACAAATAACAAAGAATTAACTAAACATATAGAAAAACAACATATAGTAGATAACAAGTATCCTTGCCATATCTGTGAAAAGTCATTCGATAAGCCCCGGCTATTAAAAAAACATTTAAAAACTCATTTTGAAGAGAAATTTAAATGTACGGAGTGTCAGAAGGAGTTTCAAAGGAAGAAAGGTTTAAAAGAACATATGAAGATTCATACAGGTGAGAAGAAATATTGCTGTACGATCTGCAATAAGGCTTTTGGTCATAATCAGACACTAAAATCACATATGTATACCCATACCGGTGAAAAACCATATGTATGTGATGTTTGTGGGAGACGGTTCCCTCAACGGACACATTTAAAACGACATATATATATAATACATACTGGTATTAAACCACACAGTTGCAATGTGTGTAATAAACAATTTTCCAGTAAAAGTTACTTAGCTATACATGAAAGACAGCATACCGGTGAGAAACCGTACTCATGCGAGGTTTGCAAAAAAGATTTTACAGCGTACACAACGTTGAAAGTCCATATGCGAGTGCATACTGGTTTTAAACCGTACTCCTGTGGTTTCTGTAGCAGACAGTTCGCTCAGATGGCAAGCTTCAAACTCCATCAACGGACTCATACCGGTGAAAAACCATTTTCTTGCAAAATTTGTAAGAAACCGTTTTCTGATAATGGTTATTTGAAGATTCATATGAGAGTTCATTCCGGAGAGAAGCCTTTTAGCTGTGATGTGTGTAAACGGTGTTTTAGGGAGACTGGGCAGCTGAAAAGACATATGCGTATCCATACTGGGGTTAAAGCCTATACTTGTAAAATTTGTAATAAGCAAATAGGGAATCTGTCCAAGCATATGCGTGTCCATACAGACGAGAGACCATTTTCATGTAGCATATGTCAGAAACAGTTTTCTATAAATGGTAATTTGAAACTACATATGCGTATCCACACTGGGGAGAAGCCATTCGCTTGTGATGTGTGTAATAGTCAATTTACACAAAGTAGTGGCTTGAAAAGACATCGATGTACGCATGGTAAGGATTTAGGCTCCTAATTGATGACTAATTTTCATTGTAACGTCCGTCTGTTAACTTATTTTAAAACATTACACACGTATTATTATTCTCTTACTAGCTTCTGCCCGCGATTTCGTACACGCAATCCTGTTTTCTCCCATAAGATTTTCAGGATTTTTCTTCTATCATAAGATCCTTCTCATGACAATAACACAACAAAAAAAAATCAGCCAAATCGGTCAGCCATTCTCAAGTTATGGCGTGACAATGGGAAACGGGTTTCATTTTTATTTATATATATAGATAGAAACAAATACTTTCGACGATATATTGATTTGAAATGTCGTGTGACGTCACTTCTTTGTACGGTCAAAGGTCAAAAGTCCGCTGCCACCGTGAGTGACGTTCACACGGCAATGCGTAAGTAGTTTCATACTAATGTGCATAAACACGCGTGCGTACGCATAAACACACGCACGCGTACGCACACGGATACAAATATGCGTGTGTGCATGTGGGTATAAGCGCTGCAGCGCAACCGATAGTAGTCTTATCGTGGCAGTGGACTTTTGATCTTTGACCGTAAATACGTTTTATACGTAGAAATGACTTTTTAGCTCCAACTCCTAAACTTTGATTCGTTTTATTTAATCTAAGTATTATCTTTTTATACGACAAAATAAAAAATACGTGTCAAAATCAGAATCAGAATATTTATTTGTCTATTATTATAATAAAATAAATGAAAAATTAAAGTGTTTATTGCAATAAAAACATTTGTCACACAGTTTATGAATACTAACATCTGAACTAGGCCGAGCCTGTACCTTAGATGTTAGTTCCTACTTTCTCGACTGATTTCAAGCTGCACCGGGGCTTATAAACATGAATTATGTACACGACTAATTTCAACAAATTCTTTATCTTATGAACTATCCCACTGCTGTTACAAGGCCTCCTTCCCACACAGAAGCTTATTTCGAGTAATACGGTAGTTTCCTAAATATTTTAATGTCCGTCTGGTACATTATTCTAAAACTTTAGACACGTATTTTTTCTTTTCTCACAAAATTAAATACTTTCGACGATATATTGATTTGAAATATCGTGTGACGTCACAGCGTGCCACATTTTGTAGCATGTTATGACGTAACGACCTCCCACTCCTAAACCTAGCGCCATTTTATCTAAGTATTGCAACTTAATACGAGAAAATAAAAATACGTGTCTAATATTTTTTCATTATCTAACTGACGGACTAATTAGAAATTTATTTTTGAGACCGTGGAAACTACCCAATTATGTACTGCAATTCATTAAAGGCCTAAAATTAGCTAAATATTAAAATCATGACAATAACAGTTTTATTTCAACTAAATAATTACTTATATATATAACAATATTATATGTATATTATATCACTGTTAAAAAGTTAAACTGCAAATAAGAATAATTTGTTTCTATAATACTACTATCGTGAGACATACTAAATTAACTAAAAATCGCGGGTTACTCACGTGAATATACTGACAAATAATGTTCTTTTGCTCCCACAATAGCCATTTAATGACTAAAAACTTACTATGAACACCTCAAAGTAACGTTACTACCTTTTATAGAAATGTTCTTATGGAGCAAAAGAGCTTTTCTCAGTATATTCGCGTGAGTAAGCCACGATTTTTAGTTAATAAATAATTTATAATATACTAGCTACTTCCGCGCGGTTTCACACGCTTTGCTCAGCTCCTATTGGTCGTAGCGTGATGTTTTATAGCCTATAGCCATCCTCGATAAATGCGCTATCCAACACAAAAAGAATTATTCAAATCAGACTTGTAGTTACGGAGATTAGCGCGTTCAAACAAACAAACAAAAAAAACAAACTCTTACGCTTTATACAAGGTGTTGTTTTAAAGCCGCGTCATTTTCTAGGAGGTAACTCGGCTATCGATTCTGAGTCCGAATCAATAAAAAAATGTAGGTAAATATTTTTAATTTTTCTGAAATTACGGACATCCGTAAGTGCGAACTACACGCCGCCGTCTTGTAACTAGCTTTATAACGCGACTTAATACACACAAACTCAAACACATAATTGATATTATTCCTAATTCCATAAAACTTCAATAAGAAACATTGCTGTCGCTTATTCTGAAATACTGTCGAACTTAAACGATTTACTATAGCCGTATTTTTAACTATTGGCCCGAAACTTTCTCTTACATTGAACCTTTATGACTTCTGTGACATGCCCCCGAGAAATGACACGGTTTCAAAACTACACCTTGTATAATAGTATAAGATAAATCACAATACTAATAAGTAGATGAAAATATGTTCCTTTAATTATCGTTGTTGCAATTGAAATCCTTACTAATATTATAAATCGGAAAGTGAGTTTGTTTGTTTGTTTGTTTGTTCCGCCTTCACGCCGTAACTACTAAACCAATTGCTTTGAATTTTTGCAGACGTAAAGTTAGAAGTCCGGATTAAATAATAGAGTATATTTTATTCCGGAAAAATTTGATATTCCCAAAGGAAAACAAAAGTATTGGTATAGATGGCGCTGTGTGTATTGGTATATGTCACAACAAAGTAGCCTCTTTTTATCCTTTTGTGACGCGAGCGAAGCCGCGGGTAAAAGCTAGTAATTAATAAACCCATGTTGATAATATAGTAGTTTCTATTACCATGTTAATATTTATAACGTACCTCTTAACATATACAAGACTTATTCAAACAGCCTGTATGTATAATAAAAATGTAAGTACTTAATTATAGCAAGTTATAATATTATAGTATTTTTATAAGATAGTGTTAATTTGTTTATTATGAACAAAAATAATGAACAGGAGAGCCATGCTTGAGCACGAATGGGCCGGCTCGACCGAAGTGATATCACGGCCGAGCAGAAAACCGACGTGAAGCAACGCTTGCGTTGTGTTTCGTCGGGTGAGTGAGGTTACCGGAGGCCCAATTACCGCTTCCGCTATCTTTGTGCCATCAGAGAGATTACTCTTGAAACCAATCTCAATGTCAATTCAATGTCAATCTAATAACATAACAACACACCTTTTATCCCCGAATGGGTAGGCAGAGGTGCACATTACGGCACTTAATGCCACTGTACAATGTAACACCCACCTTTCACTATTTATGTTATGAGTCCCTTGTAATAGGGGGTGAGTCTATTGTCATATATCAAGAATTTTTAAAAACACAGTAATACTTTGTTCGACCCGGAAATCGAGCCTGAGACCCCTTGCCCGGCAGTCGCACTTGGCGACCTCTGCCAACGAGGCAGTCAATCCAATCAGCCGACAGTCAGCAGGCATTCGGTCCAATAAAATCTCAACAATTATTCAATGTCAACACTATACAACCCCTATCGTAGCTGTTACAATAGCATTCAGAGTACGGAATATAAAGCCAAACTCAATACCATTTAGTTCATTCAATATCCACGCAATACGGATGCAATGGGCGCTAGTGTTATAACTCAAGAGTACGAAATTTCACAATACCAATGTCGATCGATCGGAATTGGATTCAAGAGTAAGCCCTCCGATGAGCTCCAAACGTTATTGAAATTGTACCTAATTTATTATTATATTATAGTGTAAGTTACAATAGTAATTAAGTGAAATAAATTATTTTAATTATATTTCTGTAGTTTTTTTTATTTTAAACCTTCGCCAAACTTGAACCTTCCCTTTGGCGTTTTTGACTCATCATCATCAACAGCCTGTTTTCGTCCACTGCTGGAAATAGGCCACGCCAATGGCACGTCACTGAGCTCGATCTTCAGCTCTACGCATCCAACCACTACCAGCCACTTTACGTATATCGTCACTCCACCTAGCTGGAGGGCGCCCTAAACTACGTTTGCCTAGACGCGGTCTCCACTCCAGAACACGTCTACCCCAGCGGTCATCGGTTCTTCGACAAATGTGACCGGCCCACTGCCATTTCAGCTTGCTAATCCTTTGGGCTACATCGGTAACTTTAGTTCTCTGTCGGATCACCTCGTTACGGATCTCCTCGGACACCTAGCCCTCTTCATAGCTCGCTGCGCCACCTTAAATTGATGGACCAGTCGCACTGCTAGTGTCCACGTCTCGGCTCTGTATGTACTACCGTATCCACTGGTAGGACGCACTCGTTGAAGACTTTCGTCTTCAGGCTTTGCGGTAGAGTTGACGAAAAAACCCGATAGAGTTTCCTATACGCCGCTCAGCCAAGCTGTATCTTACGAGCCTCCCTCTCTAAGTTGTTTCTACCAAACTGCAGGGTTTGTCCTAGGTAGACATACTCCTGAACAACCTCGAGAGTAGACCCATTCAGAGTAATCGGAAGAACATGTTCATTGAACATCACCTTCGTTTTGTCTAGGTTCATCCGGAGTCCAATGCGAACAGAAGATTCAGCCAGGCTGTTCAGCATATATTGTAGGTCTTGCACGGTTTCAGCCACGATGACGATGTCATCTGCTAATCTCTAGTGTGAGAGACTCTTGTTTTTGACTCAGAGGGCGCTAATGATATTAGCTGTCAAAAACCAATTGAATATTATATTTGTCGAAGCGTCAACGCATATCAATTGATTTAGATGTGCCAACTATTGTTTGAGAACGTCAAGTAATTACTTGAAGATGGTTAGCGCGGAGTAATGGCAACACCGATGGAAATATCGATCCGGAAGTTTAATCAGACTTTGACATTTGACAGCAGATGACGGTGACAGACGTCACTGAGCGCGGGAAACGCCTTTGGAAAGGATCGCGGTGGTGGCGGCAGCTAGAAGCATTAGTCCCCGCTAAACTTCCTGCGTTCTCACGATTATCACTATTATCAGTAATTTGGTGTGATTCGACAATGTCGCGACCCACTGGTAGCGTATATCCGACATATTCAATTTGACACTAGCCAGTTTTTTAAGGGGGAAAGTTGTCGAATGACTTCTCCCGTCTAAGTGATTCTTACCACACACCACGTCCCTACTCCTGCAGTTCTAGTCGGAGCCCCGGTAACCCGTAACTTTTTATTGAACGAACAGACCTCATGCTAGGTCGATAGCGCCACCTAGTGACTAAATTGTTCGGAGGGTTTTGAAATCAAAACGAGACGGCGTCCGGCCCTTTGATTGGTTGGTTCATTGGAGCCAGCCAATCACAGAGCCGAACGCGTACTCGTTTCGATTACTTTGAACGTAAAAGAAACTCGTACTAAAACCTCGGCAGTTACATTTCCAATCACTCGACCACCTGGCAGTCACCACGAACAAATAATACCTAATACAGAATCAGTATTTTGTTCAGTTAATTTAAAAGTTAAATTAACCATATCGTGAGTGACCGCAGTCGCTGAAACAATGTGGATAACTAAAGCTATATCAACATGAAAATATTTTTAATTCTGCTTTTATATTGTAAGTTTCAATTCTTATGGTATTTATTTATTTTTAAGGGGGGAAAATCATCTAATGACTACTCCCGCCTGGGTGAGGTGGGAGGGAACAACAAAAATTTTGAAGTGAAGCTAGTTGCTCATTCCAAGGTAAACCGTGGGATTGCTATGGAGAAGAACGAGCAAGAAACTCCATAGGTTACTCTTTTTCAGTAAGAGTTACAAGTGCCTATCTTGGGGAAATGGGAAGGACTGAGACACCGGTAACCTTACTCTCAGGGCTGCACATATTGTGTCACGTCTCTTTTAAACAAAAATAATGGAATAACCTTGTGATGTGCAGTCATTGGGGAAAGACTCTGAGGCAATGGACAGAGTATGGTTGTACGCATGATGAATGATGGAATCGTAGTCGATTACAGTAGTATCGGACACACGAGTCCCTCCACTCTCAAAGCACCGGGAACGCACTTTTTATTAAGGGGAAATATCATTGAATGATTTCTCCCGTCCTGGCTAAAACCACCTTTTTTTGTGGCATAAGCCGGTAAACGAGCATACGGATCACCTGATGGTAAGCAATCGGCGTCGCCCATGGACACCTGGAACACCAGAGGCGTTACAAGTGCGTTACCGGCCTTATGTGATTAGGAGTTTGAGGATCGTTGGGGATTCAAGAATCGGGGAGATTGGGGAAGGGAAGGGTAATTGGGCAATGCACAACGCAAGCGTATCTTCACGTCGGTTTTCTGTGAGGCCGTGGTATCACTCCGGTCGAGCCGGCCCATTCGTGCCGAAGCATGGCACTCCCACACTTCCGACTCCTGCTTTAAGCTGGAGTTATGATAGCCCTTGCGGTTCTCTATAACTCATAACTCCTCTAGTGTTCCAGGTGTCCATGGGCATCCGATTCCTTACCATCAGATGATCCGTCTGCTCATGAATCCACCTAAAAATAGGATATCAATAATTTCTTATCTTTTTTTTAGTAAATGTAGCTATTTCGGAAAACAATGATACAATCACAAATATCATAAAAACTAATTTAAAGAGAATTAAAGAATTGGGTTATGAAGAGGATGTTTCAAAGATATACGTCGATTCTGAATTACAAGAATTATGGAGGAACTATGTGATTGAATCCGATGAATATAAGCTTGCTAAACTGACAAAATCAACGACTTACAGGCCTTTGGCGGTACCGTAAGTATACCACGACTGAAGTGATACCTAACGTGATCAAACGTCACGTTTTGTACGGGCTACTCTCTTCTAAACCTACTTTTAAAAAAAGGAGGAGGTTCTCACAATTACGAGTCCCGAAATGAAATCTGGAATGCAAAATAGGGTAGTTTGCAGGGAAAGAATATTATTATTATTAAAATCTAATTAATCTATCAGTTAGATGATGAAAAAATTATTAGACACGTTTTTTTTTATTTTCTCATATAAAGTTACATACAATTACAATACTAAAATAAAATGGCGTAGGAGGTAATTACGTTAGAACGAGGTACATTTTGTAGCACGCTGTGACGTCACGCGACATTTCAAATCAATATATCGTCAAAAGCATTTAATTGTGTGAGAAAAGAAAAAAAAACACGTGTCTAATGTTTCAAAACAATCTACCAGACGGACATTAAAATAAAATTTAGGAAACTACCCTATTGTCTCGCTTTCGGAAACGACGCGAAAATTTGATTTATCGAACTTATGCGACGACCGTTCGGACGGTTCGAATAGCGTGCGAGAGAGATATGGCTAATTTTTGACGAAATGCAACCATAAATTCTTTAAGTACCTACATTTTTGTGCAGTTAGTAATGTTAACCTCTTTGTTGAGGGCACAAAGTTTGTGTTTATAGGATCTACAGACTAGATGCCTGACTGAATCTAAATAAATGAACGTCTCGTTTTCTTAAAAACAAAATGGGAAACCCCATTTATGGCAAACCCCTCTTATGTAGAGGAGGCTTATAGTCCAACAGTGGATTGTCAACAGACTGTTTACGTTCTCAAAGATAATTATAATAGGATAGTATCCAGGGTATCAAATTAAAAAATTAATTAGTCCGTCAGTTGAATAATGAAAAAATATTAGACACGTATTTTTTTTATTTTCTCGTATTAAGTTGCAATACTTAGATAAAATGGCGCTAAGTTTATGAATTGGTCGTTACGTCATAACGTGCTACAAAATGTGGCGCGCTGTGACGTCACACGATATTTCAAATTAGTATATCTTCGAAAGTACTTAATTTTGTAAGAAAAGAAAAAATACGTGTCTAAAGTTTTAAATTAATGTACCAGACGGACATTCAAATAAAATTTAGGAAACTATCCTATTGTCATCGGTATTTTACGTATCAGACTCGAATTAAATTTGGGTAGTTTTTTTATTGTATTTCGCATTATTATTCTTTCAGCACATCATCATTTACTGGAAGCCCACCGAATATAATTCTAAAAGACATACCTCGTATCGAAAATACTGAAAAATTGCAAAATTTTACTAAAATAGTAGATTTGTCAAAAAATCCGAATACAACTACACTGCATAATAATGAATTGATAGAAAGAAATGGTACAATTTTTGACGTGTAAGTATATAACAGCAATAACATCAGCCTATAGGTGGCCACTGCTGACCAAAGGCCTCTTCTCACACGGAGAAGGTCTTTTTTTTAAGGGGGAAAATCATCAATGGCTGCTCCCACCTGGGTGAGGCGGGAGGGAGTGTCAGACTCTTACTGACTAAAAACCACCCCGTTCCTTCTCCTGCACGTCGAGCCGGAGCCCCGGTTACCCGTTAGGTTCTCCGCGACTCCGAATCGGCATCGGCCCTGTTGGGCCCCATCTGTGGTGGTCTGATGGCTCTTTGAGGCGCGCGCGGAACGCTCGGCGCCGTACGCTCGGGTCTGTCTCTAATCGGACGGGGAGCCACCCATGCTCGCCGTCCGCAGGCCCGCGCTTACGGTGGCCGGAGATCGTCCCGCGGAGAAGAACGGAGAAGGTCTGAGGCCTTAATTGTTTGGCGGCGAGAGGCGGGTTTGTTTCACGTTTAAAGTAATCGAAACGAGTACGTGTTCGGCGCTCTGATTGGCCGGCTCTAATGAACTAACCAATCGGAGCAGCGAAGGCAGGCAGTCTCGTTTCGATTACTTTTTACTATCGTAAAATAAACCCGTACTAGAGCCTTTGAGCGTTAATAGCCACGCTTGCTGAATGCGGGTTGGCGATTTGTCAAACTTATCATTAGACTAGCTTTTACCCGCGGCGCGGCTTCGCTCGCGTCACAAAAGGATAAAAGTAGCCTATGTGACATATAACAATACACACAGCGCCATCTATACCAATAGTTTCGTTTGCACTCTAGAATATAAATTTTTTCCGCGATGAAAAGTACCCTATTATTTAATCCAGACTTATAACTTTACGTCTGCAAAAATTCAAAGCAATCGGTTTAGTAGTTACGGCGTGAAAGCGGAACAAACAAACTCACTTTCCGATTTATAATATTAGTAAGGATAGTAAGGATTTTATAAGTCCAGGACACGGTGTTTCCTTTCGCCGGAAGTATGTAAGTGGTGTGTAAAAATCTTAGAAAGTACATGTACCTATATAACTCGGAAAAAGTCACATTGGTAATTGATTTAAAAGTACCTATTTATACATGTTACTAACTTTTTGTAAGATGTATGTAGGTATATCACGAAAAACTACTGACTGGAATGAGATGAAATTTGTCACAGATATAGATTTTTAAATCGAGCGCTCTCGCACTCGCGCCTGAGCTGAGCTCTGGCCTTTTTGCGCCGTCTTCACTGTTTTAATTTTATGTGTGTTTTTGTACTTTGTGACGGTGTGCAAATAAAAAATTTTTCTTTCTTTCTTTTTTTTTTTAAAAACGTTGCCCCACACTAGGTATTTCTCCTGTGTCGTGGGTGTCTTTCTTTCTTTCCTTCCTTCTTTCTTTCTTTCTTTCTTTCATTTTAGTCTGGAATAACACATGGGGTAATTAGTATACTGGGACCGCAGACGACGCCGCTGGCAAAAGCTAGTAATATAATACATCACGCTCTTTATCCCCGAAAGTGCGGGCAGAGGTGCACATTACGGTACTACATGCCACTGTACAATGTAACACCCACCTTTCGCTGTTTATGTTATGAGCCCCATGTAATAAGGGGTGAGCCTATTGCTATATACCGGGCACACTGCCAGGCTCCGTGCAACTACTGAGAATTAAAAAAAACCAGTAGTATTTTACCCGAGCCGGGAATCGAACCCGAGACCCCTTGCCCGGCAGTCGCTCTTGCGACTACTCGGTCAACGGGGCAGTACCAATGTACATACATACATGATTATTGACGAGTAAACGATTAGTAAGCTGAAGTGACGGTGGGCCGGTCATATTTGTCGAAGAACCGATAACCGCTGGGGTAAACGTATTCTAGATTCTAGAATAGTCTAGCCCTTTAGCTGAATAAAGTGATGATATCCGCTGTATAGCTGGCAGTGGTTGGATGGGAAGAGCTGAAGACTGAGCTCAGTAGCGTGTTGGTTTTTTTTTATACCACGACGGTGGCAAAAAAGCACACGGCCCACCTGATGGTAAGCGGTTACCGTGGCCTACGTACGCCTGCAACACTTGGGGCATTACATGCGTCTTGCCGACCCTTATGAAACCTATTCACTCCCTTCTTGAAGAACCTCATGTTGTAGCCCACTGGGAAAACCATGACAGGGAGCTCATTCCACAATCGGAGGGTCCGAGGGAGAAAATTCCTCTGAAACCGAACTGTACGGGACCATTTTGGCTCCAATTGGTTGTTATAGATAGTATGCACTTTAAGCATGTGTGTGACCACCCAGGGCATTGCCTGTCATCCCGTGAGACAACGAACAGTACTAATTCATAATCCGATCTAACCAGTCGTTTCCTCATCCAGTGACAATGCCAGTGACGTTCTAAGTAACCAGGAAAACACATTTTTTTTATAACGCGATGGAAATCCTCCTGGACTTCCCACGCCGTGGGGACGACGGGGGGTGGTGCCACCGCGGTATTCCTCCTCTGCCTGTGGCCGTGACCCGGGACGCCCTTGCGGATTCACCGCACCCGGCAGGCCTCGACCTACCACTAAATTGTGGCAGGTCCCACCACGTAGCAGCCCTCAAAAGCTGCGATTTCCTTCCTCGAGTGGCGCATGTGAAAGGCCTATGTCCAGCTAGACTGATGATGAAGATGACGAAGACAAATGATTGTTTTTTTAACAGACGCAGGCAAATTAATAGCCAAGCAGGAATGAAAGATATGCAAAAGAGTATGAACGAAGCGCAACCAAACAATGCTCCAACTGCACGGATAGAAGATATTCGGGAACCCTACTGGGAGGATGGACACTGGGTATTTGAAAGGTGCGTCTTATCTTATCGTGTCCTACTGGGCGATGCTGCAACTTTTAATTCGAAAGATAGAAGTGAATTCGATCGCGGTCCACTATGTCATTGATTTTTTAAAGGGGGGAAAATCATCGAATGACTTCTGGGTGAGGCGGGAGGGAATGTCAGTCTCTTACTGACTAAAAACAACCCCGTTCTACTCCTGCACTTCGAGCCGGAGCCCCGATAACCCTTTGTTCTCCGTGGCTTCGAATCCGCATCAGCCCTATTGGGCCCCATCTGTGGTGGTCTGATGGCTCTTTGAGATGCGCGCGGAACGCGACGCGCCGTACGCCATATCTCTGATTGCGAGGCCAACCTCGACCAACGACAGCCTAGAATGCGATCGAGCTCATTTCGAGAGTACCAATTGACATCTTACAGAATAGCATAGTAGATAATAATAGTTTCTATCCTTACGTAGTGATAGAGGTCAAACGCCAGCCTATCAAATAAACAAAAGGGGTAATGTTAACCGGACGTACTCATGCCCAACGGCCGACCCTGGAATCGAATCTAAAACTCCTTGCTCGGTAGATAACAACGTCTCTTTACTAACAATATTATATTTTCAGAACACCAACGCCACCTCCGGGTCGGGGTGAAACAACTTCGCAAGTATATTGTAAGTTAAAAATCACCAGAGCCGGAATAAGGCAAACTAGTGCAAGACCCAAATGCCCATTTATTCTGCATTTTTTTTATGAGATAAGCCGATAAACGAGCAGACAGTTCACCTGATGGTAAGCCATCGGCGGCGCCCGTGGACACCTGGAACACCAGAGGTGTTACCGGCCTTTTGGATTTGGATTAGGATTAGGAATTTGTGGATTCTTGGAATTTAATGATTGATAAGATTTGTGAATTGGGGGGAGGAAGGTATTGGGCCCCGGTAACCTCACTCAGACGACGACACAACACAAGCGTTGATTCACGTCGATTTCTGCTCGGCCGTGGTATCGGTCCGGTCGAGCCGGCCCATTCGTGCCAAAGCGTGGCCCTCCCACACTTGATGACGATGTTTGAAAACACCTGCAGGGTGAGTTGGAGTGGTAACAAATATCTTCTGCTGTCTCCACATGATTGAGTGGTTTCACATGAATATTTATTTTACAGTTGCAACTACAAACCCACAAGACTGCGATCCATTTTGCTCATACTATTTCAAAAAGTGAGTACTACTTACTAATATTATTTTTAAAGGGGGAAAATTATCGAATGGGTGCTCCCGCCTGGGTGAGGTGCGAGGGAGTGTCAGACTCTTACTAACTAAAAACCACCCCCTTCCTTCTCCTGCGTTTCGAGCCGGAGCCCCGGTAACCCGTAAGGTTCTCCGCGACTCCGAATCGGCATCAACCCTGTTGTGGCCCATCTGTGGTGGCCCGGACGCTGGGGTGCGTACGGTGCTCATTAGATTTAATCCACCCCAGATTATGATGATGATGATGATGAGTTAAAACTAAAATTTTAGTCACGGTGTAGTTTGCTGCCATCGATATACCGTGATACAAAGGAAGAACGAATATAAAACGTTTTCGAACATGTGCGAAATGGAACAATTCAACTGTAGGCAACTAACAAAGCGTAAGTGGCATTTTTACAAATTTTTATTTAACTTGCTGTGTAGGTATGTGTGATGTACATACATATGATAAGTAATAAGACCGCCTTTGTGCCCATTATTATTTTTATTTATATTTGTCATTTCCTTTTCTGTATGTAGGTACTGTATTATTAATGGTGTACAATAAAGTTATATTCTATTCTATTCTATTCTATTCTATTCTATTCTATTCTATTCTATTCTATTCTATTCTATTCTATTCTATTCTATTCTATTCTATTCTATTTTATTCTATTCTATTCTATTCTATATGTGTGTGTAGTACAATCTTGCACCTGAATTTTGAAACAGATATCTTCAATTCATTGAGCTGGAATTTTGTATACACGTTGAGTTTGCATGACCATAAAAGCTTAGCTTTTAAAATGTTATCAAATTATATTTTTTATCACATGTTTGTCCACTATTCCGCCTGGTGTTGATGATGGTGAGCCATGATGCGTCCTATGATGATGCACGCCTACATAAGCAACCTGTTCACTCAGGTCTTGAAGACAACTAGGTTTTCCTCCGAGAAACACTGACTCTGACAAAGAATTCCTCACCTTAGCTGTTCTAATTAAAAAATTTGAAGCCTTCTAATTCCTGAATGGAAATAGGATGTGATCATTATAGGTATTTAGGTACCACCGGTCTAAGAACAATGATATCATGTAAACCTCCCATATTATGTAGTGGAGGTTCGTAGTCCAGCTGTGGAAGGCCACCCACTTGATATTCCCATAAAAAAACCACTTGATATTATTGATAACATAACATAACATCACGCCTTTTATCCCCGAAGGGGTAGGCAGAGGTGCACACAAAGTAACATCCACTTTTCACTATTTATGTTATGAGTCCCATGTAATAGGGGGTGAGCCTATTGCCATATACCGGGCAAATTTCCAGACTCCGTGCTACTACTGAGATTTTTTTTAAAAACCCAGTAATACTGAATTGAACCCGAGACCCCTTGCCCGGCAGTCGCATTTGCGACCACTCGGCCACCGAAGCAGAGAACAATAATATTATTGATATAAAGATAATTATCCATCTTATATATTTTTTTTTATTTTCAGGGCCACGTAAGTAAAATACATTATCCGGTATATCTCAACTTTCATGTATACTAATGAAGTCACTTAGGGAAATTGTAATGGGAGGTTTGGTTGATACAAATAACAAAAAAAAATATCTAGACTGAAAGTCTACTGACAGATATTTAAAAAAGAAAAATGGCACTGCAATTTTGATTTAGATTCTATAAAAGGGTAGACGACTAATTATTATTTTAATGTCCGTCTGATAGATTATTTAAAAACATTAGACACGTATTTTTTATTTTCTCACAGAAACGAATAGTTTCGAAGATATATTGATTTGAAATGTCGCGTGACGTCACTTCTCAGTACATTTTATACTAAGAAATTACGTTTTAACCCCCACTCCTAAACTTTGATTCGTTTTATCTAAGTATTGTTTTATTATACGACAAAATAAAAAAATACGTGTCTAATATTTTTTTATTACCTAACTTACGGACTAATTATATTTTTAATTTTCATACCCTGTCATCATCCCCATTTAATCAAAGCTTAGTGATATTCGATAAAAGTGTTTTTTTTTATAGCATAAGCCGGTAAACTAGCGGATGGGTCACCTGATGGTAAGCAATCGGCGTTGCCCATGGACACCTGGAACACCAAGGCGTTACAAGTGCGTTACCGGCCTATTGGGAGTTGGGAATTTGAGGATTGTGGATTCGGGGATTCGGGAGACTAGGGACTACCGAAGGCCCAATTACCCCCGTAATTGGGCCTCCGGTAACCTCACTCACACGACATAACACAACGCAAGCGTTGTTTCACGTCAGTTTTCTGCTCGGCCGTGGTATCACTCCGGTTTCGTGCCGAAGCATGGCTCTCCCACACTTATCTTGTACTTTTCGTACTCCGGTGTAGTGTTCAAACTAAAAAGCCTAGAATCCAAATAGTACAAAGGCTTTTTAGTTCCCACCGATTAAAAATAATATTTTTTCAGACTGGCATCCCTTGTACAGAGGGGCGTGTGTAACGTTGTATAAAATGCACTCAGGACCACCCCGGTCAATAGTCGACAGAAAGAGACAATTCGACCCATCATAAGAAAAAGTACTATAATAAAATAAATTATATTGATACCAATGACTTGGAACTTGAATAAAGCTGTGTATGTTCTCCTATTTTAATTGATCTAATAGCTATAAACAAGCAATTCGTTTGTATGTATATATCAACGATCTCGGAAACGATTCCAACCATTTCCTTGAAATTTTTTACTCAGGGCATTTCGTGGGTGACAAATTGATCTGGCTAGACTTCTCATTCAGAAAGCTCGGTCATCCAAATTCTAATTCAAAATTCTTTATTACCTATCTCAAGAATTACAATACATACTGTCTAACATGCAGGAAGCCCCAGTAAGTTATTATACAATACTTGTGTTGGGCTTGGCCTGAATCGCTCGATATCTTTATAAAAAAAAAACCACGTGTTATAACTAGGCAAGGACGTTTTCTTTTATTTCTTTTCTGTATTTAAAAAGTGTAGGTACGCTATCTGTGGTCGGTCGCTGCTATTTTTTTGAAAGAAATACAAAGCGTTATTCTTTCAGCTACTCTTTTACCCAAATGCTACTGAACAAATAAATGAAATTTTAAAATTGGGCGCTATTTATCAAAGTACTGAAAACGGCAGGTACAAGTTGTTTAGTATAGTTCATTAATAACTAGAACTAGAAAATAATAGTTTATTATTACGATATTACAATACATCTTGAATATATTTTTAACGATCAGAAGATTTAAAAAAAAACAATATGGGATATAGTTACATTTTATTAGATTATGCGAATACAATTTCAAATTAAGCTTATCAACCGATGTTTATTTTAAATAGGAACAAAATAACAATAACTCAGTATGAAAATAATAGCATTGAGAATTTAGTTAATTAATATGAAAAATATAAGTCTCACAGAACTTGACCGATTTTCCCGCTCCTAAATGAAAGCTGACAAAATGACCGAGTGCGGGTTGTCCCGCGCTTCCCCATCATCCCCATCCCTAACAATATAATGTCAATAAACTGTCAAATCAATTTCAGTTTTTCAACAACATCAATATTCATGATTTCAATATTAATTTGCTACCCATCCATTGGACATGATTTCAATTGAACTCTGTCAAATCAAATCTATAATCTATATTTATATCACATGGCAACACTCTAGCGATTTCTGTCAAACGAATATCGTAAAAAATGTCTGAATTTGGTTGCGCTTTATATGGCTTACCGAAAATAATTTTTATTATGTGAATTATAGAAAATGAAAAGTGTGTGTTATTAAAAAAATATGGCTTTTGAATATGTTGTGGTGAAACAAGAAATTGAGGACGTTATTGAAGACGAAAAGGTTGATTCTTCAGAACCTTTACAGTCCAGGGAACTGCCCCAGTCCGTGAATATTAAATTGGAAATAGAAGTACCACCCCTTGATATCAGGTAAATTATGTATAAATTTAATTTTATACAAATAACATTTATCTGCCATCTACAATAATAATTTTGTTCTGACCAAAATATTGCTTTTGCCGGCAATTTTTTTTTAATATTTAGCCGCGCTACTACTTTATTTTCTATATTTTTAGCGATAAATAAAAAGAAAATATAATTTGACATTGACAATAATAAAGAAATCGCCCCTATGATGACCCACTGACCTGACCAATACTGCCGTTATAATTTTTTTATTGAATTTAATAAAGTCTACACGAATTTGTTGATACACAAAAAAATCTTTAATTTTTTTGAATCAAAAAGAACTAATGGTATGTCCTACAGTGTTGTGTGAACTTGATGGAAAAGTGTAACCTATGAAGTTCCTTGCTCGTTCTTCTACATGGGAATGTTTACTTCATTTTAGGACTGACAGATTACAACTTATTTTTTTAAATTATGGGGACTTGAAACTGAACTGCATTTCAAGAATATCAATTAAATTACTCATTCTTTTTAATAAGTATTTTCTGATATCTTTAAATGTGTTTATTCATTGGTAATTATATATTAATTTACTAGCTATTGCTGACTTTGAGCGCACAGAATATATATTTTAGGAAACACCTATTTTGTTTAAATTTTTCAAAATGAATGTAGCCTCTTTTAGCCAATAATTAACTCCTGTCAAAATCGGTCCAGCCATTTTAGACTAGAAAAGTAACTAGTCCAAACAAACAAACAGACAGAAAAACAAAAATTGTAAAAATAATATTTTTGTATGGGAGTTGTATGTATGTATATTCATATTATGATGCATGTAGTAAAAAGCAGTTATTTTAATATACAAACAACACTTTAATTATCTGTATAGATTCAAGCTTTATTCAGAAACTATGAAGCTAATTAGTTTATAATTAAGTGACTCTTTCCTATGGGTATCAGAGAAAAGAGCCCACTAAGATATTAAACATTTGACAATGTCTGGGCAGTAGCATTTTCATATCGAGGGGTAACGGACTTTTTGGTTTAAGCGACTATATATATAACTCAATATGGACCAAAATGTCGCTTAGACCAAATAGTCCGTTACCCCTCGATATAATCCTCAATGTTTTACTAAAAACCGTGATTTCAAATCGGCCTGCCAAACTTGTAGGTAGATTATGAATCCCCTCTTTTGTAGAAGAGGCCTATAGTCCAGTTGTGGACTCTCTCAGGATCATGCTAATAATACAGTAGCTGTTGCCCACAACTTCGTTCGTGTGGAATTGTGATTCACAGCTCCTCCCCCATAGATGATAGCGTGATAATATATAACCTATATCTTGAGCCGACCTGTTATTCATGCAAAATTTAAAATAAATCCATGCAATACTTTTGGAGATCATCCCGGATATACATGATGAAACTATATTTTTGGCTTCGGTATCAATTGGAGATCACGCCTCAAGTATATTCTTTTTAAAAAATATTCAATTTATAGTTTTGACTATTCTATTATTTTAATAAATTATGTATAATTTAATAGATTGTGAAAGTTTGTGAATTTCTGTGTATGATTATTACTCGATCCATCCAAAACAACTGAAGGGATCGTATGAAGTTTAAACAGGGGTAGTTTATAATCTGGAATAATGCATAGGCACCTTTTTAAGCCACGGGAATCGGATATGAAATAAGCATAGAGTACCTAATACCCGAAAGAAAGAAAAAACATTTATTCAGCCCCAGACACATAATAAAATAAAAAAAAACTAGTTTCTGCCCGCGACTTTGTAAGCGCAATGCCGTTGTCTCCCATTCCCGTAGAATTTACAGAATTTTTTCTGTCATAAGAACCTTCCCCCGACATAACATACACAACAAAAAAAATCAGACAAATTAGTTTCAAGCCGTTCTCAAGTTATGGCGTGACAACATTTCATTTTTATATATATAGAAACTTTAAATGATCTATCACTAAAAGTCATATAATAAAAACCAAACAAACAAATTACTTAAAAAATTATACTTTATTATCATTATTACGTAATAAAAATATGTATTCACTAAAATTATGGCAAATTAACTATAAATTATAAAATAAATTATACGTTTTGAGATGGCATCGTTGAGTTTATCGTGTGCCCTTTTTTAAAAAAGGTCCAACGATAAAATGTTATATAACTTAATTCCTTCGTGCTCTTATCTGACAGCACATGAACAGCCCGAAGATGACACAGATACACTGAAAAAGAAAAAATATAATTAATAATTTGTTTTGGTATGTATTTGATTGTGGTCATGGCAGAGTAGAATATATTTTTCACCACCCATACTCTTCATAAGTCATTGTAAGGGCTGACTAAAGACTATACTTTACTGGGACACCGTGGCAACGCAACCAGTCGCGTCACCATGGCGGTCGGGTTGGCGGCTAATTGATAGCGCTACCATAATTAATTAATGGTGGCGCGACCAGCGTGGATGAGCGACCCCTATCATTCTGTGCTGGCGTCGGACCTGGTCACGCCGCCAGATTAGTTGCGTAATCAATCGGATACCAGATGTCTGTCGGTCCTTCAATCAGTTCGGTTCAGTTTATCTCCGTAGCAAATTTCATCGCGAACGGTCCAGCGGTTTATGCGTGAAAGCGTGACAGATAAACTGTTATTTTTACAGTTATGTTAAATACTGGCGAGGTACGGACGGTTATTTTACGTTTTTAATCAGTTAACGGAATGGTTTTCTCCAAATATTGTATTAAAATATAAACTGTTTTTTAAATTCTTTAAATCTTTAGACTACGAGGACCCTAAGCCAACTCGCAGAGGACTGTTAAACAATTATTTCTATACATAATACTAAACAAAATCTCCTACCGCTTTCCTGCTGTCTGTCCCCAATGTACGCTCAGATCTTTAAAACTATGCAACGGAAGCTGATGCGGTTTCTTTAATAGATAGAGTGATTCAAGAGGAAGGTTTAATTTATAATTAACTCGAGCAAATTCGAACCAAAAACTAGTCAAAGTCAATATAGTCTATTGTAAAATAATTCTTATAATAGTCTTGTCCGAATAGGTAGCTTATGGGACGACGTGCGCCATCGTAGACCGCATCATCGCTTACCACCAGGCGAGATAGTGGTCAAACGGCGGCCCAATATAAATAAAAGTTTAGAATTCCCTTAGACACGGCAGCACGCAAGAACTAAACTAAATTTGCTAATTATCTAATTAGTTTTAGCATGTTTTCATTGCCAAGGGAATAACTTGTTAATTAAACACAAAATACGATAATCTCTACATCTTTTAGTCACGCAAGATATCCAAAATGGCTGCCTCAACTTGGTATTTTTTCTATAGTAGTCTTTACTTAGTGGATAACATTTTTATATACATACATACTAGCGGACCCGACAGACGTTGTCCTGCATATCAACTTGAATGTATAAACAAAAATTCATTCAAATTAGTTCAGCTGTTTAGGATAAATAACCTAAACATCGACTGCAGCGCCATCTGCCGGGCAGATTTGTGAATCTAAACCATTCCCAGATCCCCTTGAACACACACATAAAATTCACCAAAATCGGTCCAGTCGTTTTAGAGAAATTCAGTGACATACACACTTACAGAAGAATTATATAATAATATATAAAGATAAAGACTAGCGGTCCCGACAGACGTTGTCCTGCATATTCACTTTAATGTATAAACAAAAATTTATTCAAATTAGTTCAGCCATTTAGGATAACTAACCTACTGCAGGGCCATCTGCCGGGCTGATTTGTGAATCTAAACCATCCAGGGTGCCACTCAAAGGCGTAAGGAAAAATTCATTTAAATCGGTCAAACCGTTTACCTCCTAAACGGCTTTAATGACATACCTACACACGTACTGCAGATAGATAGATACAGCGTATACATATATAAAGATAGGTCAAACAGACGATCTCAGTTTTTATGAAGTCGGTTTAAAATATAGTGATCTCACCTCAACAATGATAACAACAACAAGCACTCCTCCAATAGCTTCTCCGAAGGTGTCGAAGTAATCGCTCAGTTTGTCAGTGCAGCCGCCATACGCGTTTGCGCTGTCGCACGGGGGCGGATTTTGTGCATTCGGATTGGGACAACATGAGACTGGTATTTGGCGACCAGCTGCTATATACGAAGATGTTCCGTTTGTACCGCAGCATTGGAACTGGAATGAAACGTTAAATTGTTAATAAATTCAGTTTAACTCGTTGAGTACCGTCATTATAGACACAATTAAAGAACAATAGGTTGCGGTCACCGGTGACCGCTCGGTGTTTGACAGTTTAAACTGTCACCGGTGACACCGGTGACAGCAACCGATTTTTTTAAATAAACGTTGCCCCACACTAGTATTTTCTCCTGTGTCGTGGGTGCGTTTACAAACATACAAGTTCACATACACAATGACACCCAGACCCGAAACAACAATTTGTGGATTACACAAAGTGTTGTCCCGTGCGGGAATCGAACCCGCGACACGTTGCACGGCAGCCGGTTGCCCAGCCACCGCACCAACTGTGCAGTGTTCTTTAATTGTGTCTATACTGACGGTACTCGAAAGGGTTAACCATGAAAACACCGGAACACTGAAGTCCAGCGCGTCACAGAGACATGAATAACTGTCTTAGATCCCGCAATGAATATGATAATGATATTATAAAAGGTGAAAAAAAAACTGACTGCCTCGTTGGCCGAGTGGTCGCAAGTGCGACTACCGGGTAAGGGGTCTCGGGTTCGATTCTCGGGTCGGGCAAAGTATTACTGGGTTTTTAATCTCAGTAGTAGCACGGAGTCTGGAAATGTGCCCGGTATATGGCAATAGGCTCACCCCTATTATATGGGACTCATAACATAAATAGTGAAAAGTGAGTGTTACTTCTGTGTGCACCTCTGCCTACCCCTTCGGGGATAAAAGACGTGATGTTATGTTATGAGAAGAACCACCTCCTTCGGTGAATTAATGTAGGAGACAGAATGACTTAGGCTTGATGGCACAAAAAAGCACACCTGGAAGAAGCCCAGTCGCCAAGCAACAGAGAATTTTGATTAAAAACTAAGTAGGTCCTCTGGTGTTATTGTGGTCCATAGCAGCACTGATTGCTTACCATCAGGTGATCCGTCTGCTCATAAAAAAGAAATACTAACCAGCATCTCCATCCCGTTGAAAACTGGTTCGAGATCAGTATTTCTGAAGGCGGTATCTAGCCATCTTGATATAGTTTCCATGGTATGTCCCAGGAATGAGAATATGACAACGGTGATGTAGATCTTAAGAGCTGCCAGGATCGCCATGCAGGCTGCGTACTGGAAACAAAAGATATTTGGTTATAGAGACGGCATATCACATGTATAAACCAATAGGGATGATGACAGGGTATGAAAATTAAAAATCCAATTAGTCCGTAAGTAATGAAAAAATATTAGACACGTATTTTTTTATTTTGTCGTATAATAAAACAATACTTAGATAAAACGAATCAAAGTTTAGGAGTGGGGGCTAAAACGTTACTTCTACGTATAAAATGTACATAGAAGTGACGTCACACGACATTTCAAATCAATATATCGTCGAAAGTATTCGTTTCTGTAAGAAAATAAAAAATACATGTCTAATGATTTAAAATAATCTACCAGACGGACATTAAAATAAAAATTAGGCATCTACCCTAACTAATTATTATTTTGAAACTTCTGTTTTCTGTAAACGATCTAAATAGCATGCTAAAAGGCATTCTATTGAGCGTATTTAAATATGTTCAAAGATCGGACGCCTGTCGATCCGCAAACATGCCTGAAATGAACTAATTTTGAGCAATATTCCGACACACATGCTGCTAATAGACAAGTGATCAATTGAAGCATGCTTCCGTGCTTTGAATCTAGCGTGTGTAACAGTACCTTAAACTGTCAAACACCGCGAGGACGCCGGTGACCGCAACCTATTATTCTTTAATTGTGTCTATAATGACGGTACTCAAAGGGTTAAGCTACAAAATAGCACATTGACACGTCAATACTTTAAAATTAAACTACGTATGGTATTTTCTGTCTGACTACTTTGAGAAGAAACACAGATTTTAACAGTCTCTTTAAAATCTAGACAAATAAAATGGGGACCGTGTAAGTTTATTTTATACCACTTTTTTTTTAAGGGGACAAAATCTTCGAATGACTGCTCTTGCCTGGGTGAGGCGGGAGGGAGTGTCAGACTCTTACTGACCAAAAACCACCCCGTTCCTACTCCTGCACGTCGAGCCGGAGCCCCGGTAACCCGTTAGGTTCTCCGCGACTTTTTATACCACTATAGGTTACCGTGGCCTATGAACGCTTGCAACAATTAGGCATTACATGCATCTTGCCGACCCTTAAAAAACTTATTTTCTTTCGAAGAACCCTCATTGTAGCCCTTTGGGAAATCTTCGGCTCGGTTCATTCCACAATCGGAGGGTCCGTGGGTCCCCACACACGTTTCAGTAGATACTTTTTTATTCTCATGATATTTGGTTGCCATTTTATTAAAAAAAAGTATGTCAAAAACGTCTTCTCAGAGCCCCATTTAAATATCAAATTGTGTAATGTACTAGTCTGTCCCAAAATTAACGAAATTTAACAGTTTAACTTGTCGAGTACCGTCATTATAGACACAATTAAAGAACAATAGGTTGCGATCACCGGTGTCCTCGCGGTTTTTGACTGTTTAAATAAGTATAAACTAACAGTTCTGTTGTCATAGATCTTAAGCACAAAATTTTACCAGTTCTGTTCTTAACCGTCTCTAATTTGAGCTATATGCATGTCGAATCTTATCACAATCGGTCTAGCGGTTCTGCGTGGGAGCGTACCAAACTAACAGTCAGATTGCCTTTATAAAGCGCATGGGTCTATGAAAATAAAGAAAAATTTGCTTGTTCGTCCCATTTCAGTTTTAAAGTTGTTATTGGTTTTTTAAATCCGGTTTTTCAGATCCGTTTACACTGATATGTCGTCATGATTGCAATCTTAATGCTGACATAACTAGTACAAGTTTCGATTAGTTAAAAGATAAGTAAGTAGGTGTTTCCGGTACCTTTCTTCTATCAGGACTTCAAATGGCTCTACTAAATGAATGACTTCATGTTTTGCCGATTAGAAAATACTTAATTAATTAAGATCTAATTCGATTACGATTAATCTCCAACTAGTCTTTGAAGGTTAGGACTTAACTTGCCACTAGCGCCACCTACGGAACGCAAAAACGACGTCTGACATTGAAACGAAGTGCCGAAAAAGGTCCGACATACAAATTAATTTTATATCAAACGCCGGAAAATGTATTTAGGTGTTAAAACACATAGCATGCCTAATTCTTATCAGTTGATAAGTTAAAATGTTTATTTACTTAGTGCTTTCGGGTTAGTCTTATCGAATAGATAATATTAATCTCCATATATCGACCAATACAGCGGTTTTTGTATTTGATGATTCATCCTTGTACTCATCGGTACAGGGTAAACAGAGTCTAAATTAAAACTCAGTACTTGTACCTACGTGTGTCGTCTGCACTGACAACTTAACTACATCCTTGTTGACTGGACATCTACACTACATGAGCTGCTGTTTACATGTGAACATTAGCTCATGACGATACCTAAGTACGTGTGTCGCCTGGACAGTCAACCTCGCTACATCCTTGTTGACTGGACATCTACACTACATGAGCTGCTGTTTACATGTGAACGTTAGCTCATGACGATACCTAAGTACGTGTGTCGCCTGGACAGTCAACCTCGCTACATCCTTGTTGACTGGACATCTACACTACATGAGCTGCTGTTTACATGTGACAGTCAACCTCGCTACATTCTTCTCAAATAGACAATCTCTGCTCTATATGAGTCACTGTTTACATGTGAATAGCTCTTGACAATACTTGAGTACATATGTCACTTGGAAAATCTACTCTACATCCTTGTTGACTGGACATGTGTTTCACTTTAATGAGCCGTCTTGACCGGGGAAGTACCACCCTCTTACAATTTTATATGGTATGGTAAGTGAGAGTTCCGGATGCACAACCCAATATTCGATCGCGCTACAATTTTGAGGAGCTCTTATCTTTGGAAACAATCCTCATATTGTACGCAACGCATTTTTGATATATCTGGTGTTATAATGCGTAACGATGGTCTTCACATACAATAAAGTGGATAGAAGTGAAATTGTTTTATAGACTATTGTCGGAATACTCAACCGCTACTCAATTTTAAGTCGCGCTTAAGTATAGTTCTGGCTCCACAAATTCTTTGTAACATGACAGAGATGGCACGATATTTGAGCACGACTTAAAATTGAGTAACGTTTCAGTATTCCAGCATTTGTTTAATAAAAGCCTCTTTATCCCCCTTTCGTTTAAAGTCAATTAATTAATATACGAAAATAACCGCATCGAAATCGGTTCATCTAATCGCGAGGTAATTGTGCACAAAAATACATACATACAAGTCAAACTGAGACTGACCAATGAGTTGTTTCGGTGTTTCTTCTAGTAGTAATGTAAAACAATTTAATATTTACCTAGATAAAGGTAAATTTTAAATTTTAAGTTGTAAATGTCAACGTGTTAAAATGCTAGCTTTTCTAACCCCTTTCCAAAATATTGTTTTAAAAAACCTAAATAAAGATACTTACGAAACCCAGCATGCATTTTGATTCCCTGATGGCGCCGCAGCAGGCACAGAATGCTATGACAAAGACGATGCATCCTAGCACGATAACGGAGATGGTCAGCACCCTGATGTCGATGATCTGGTAGAAGTCACTCAAATTGACGTGAACTGCTGTACCCAAGCCGATGATTGCTAGACCGGCGAGCTGGAAGAAGAAATAGTATTATGTATAGAGAACGTGTATGTAGAACTAAGGTTGACGGGGGACTTTTTGGAGAAATAGACTAGGGAGTGTAGTATTTTTACCCCCCTCGGTGACCACTCTCAGCACCTGAAGGAGGTATTGGGTTCTCTTGCTTTCCCCCGCCAACAAAAAAAGGTAAGGGAAGGGTATGGTGTAAGAAACAGATGAGTAAGTTGACTTCTTCTAATCATCTGTTCTTGGACAAATAGGAGCAAAACAGGTCCTGATAAAAATAAGTCTATCTTTTTTTAAAGACATTGATGGTTGATTAAAAAATAGATATGCTAAGATCAAGCTGTGTGTGGTTTTATCTTATGAAGAAAGTCGCAATGTTGCTATAGTTTCTCTTTCAGTACTCTTCATTAAATATTGACTTGACGTTGGAATTTCAAATACTCTTAAAGGAATATATGTTGCCGGTAAAAACGATGATGATAATGATGATGTAACTATGCACCTAGGTACCTACCAATAACATAAAATCACAGAAACATCTTCCTTTACATCCATGGCCCACACAGATTGCACCACCTCCATACATTTTAAATAAACTTAAAAAACTAAGCTGTCAATGTGTACATGTCCGAACGACACGATCATCAGCAATCAACTGACTTACGTCCAGTTACAATAACCTATCTATCTGTAGATTTGCGTACTAGAGATAGAATTGTGACATAAGCTCCATACAAAATGTGTCAAAATTCTATCTTAGTAACCAAATCTACAGATTATTGAAATTGTCTGTTAGTCGATTAACGGACCAAAGGAAGGTAGTTTTATAAACCAGAACTTGACTGTCAAGTACTTTTAATTTCAAATGTATTCCAATACGGAGACTTTGAATAACTTTGGGATAGATATAAATCTGTTGAAGAAGACAAAATCTACAAGTATGGTAGAAAATAAAGAATAAAACAAACGGGGTAAGCTTAATATGTCGTGGTGGCCCGGAGGTTAAGACGCCCGCTTCTCATGCATAAGGGTGCGGGTTCGAAACCTACCAACGGCAAGTACCAATGTGACTTTTTCCGAATTATATGTACTTTCTAAGATTATTTAGACACCACTGACAAACGATGAAGGAAAACTTGAGGAAACCTGGGCTTATAATTTCCAACAAGTTTGAAATCGCCAACCCGCAATGAGCAAGCGTGGTGCTTAATGCTCAAACCTTCTCCGTGTGAGAAGAGGCTTTGCTCAGCAGTGGGCATTTAATGGCTGTTGATGATGATGAAGCTTAATATAGCAGTTTAAAAAGACGAAGGCCTAAACTTAGTAGTGGATGAACTTGGGCTGAGGTGATGATGATGATGATGATGATAAAGTTAAGGCTAATATAAACAAAGAATAGACTCACGGCAAAAACAATGTTGACAATAATCAACACATATTTAACGATAAATTCCGCTAGGCAGCACATCCTGACTTCGTTCACTTTTCTCCGTATAAACGTTTGGGTCTGCTCGCTTTGATCCATTTACTAACATTTTATTTGACATCGTACCACTATAAGTGGAAAGATTAGATATATTGATAAAATACATGATATCGTTTGATAAATGTTATCGTACCGTCAAAAGTAATGTTGCTGATATATGTTTTACTGCTGACTTCGTTCATGTGGAATTCTCAGGGCCTTTTCCTGGGTCCAATGTCATTTCTTAAGATTTGTGCTATCTGTATCAAATGTCAAAATTGGTCCTGTAGCGGGGTCAAAGCGTAAAAGACAGATTATTTTTAGTATTTTTCTAATTTCATAAATGATACGTACCTGAACTTTCCTCAAGTATCACAATATTCATTAGTAGAAACGAGGCAAGAATACGTCAAGTAGTTTTTTAGTTTATCGTGTTCATACAGACAGACGCTAAAGAAGAGTCATAATAATGTAAGGATCTTCTAGCTTCAGGACCATTGAGGGCATATGAACTTGAACTGTTTATGCGAAGGGTATTGGATAGACCTAGGTTTCATCATCATCAGATTCCATCGTATTATGAAAAGGAAGTTTTAGTTTGTTTATGACGAATAAGCGGTCATCTAACTGGAGACTGGACTACCTCGTTGGCCGAGTGGTCGCAAGTGCAACTACCGGGCAAGAGGTCTCGGGTTCGATTCCCGGGTAGGGCAAAGTATTACTGGGATTAAAAAAAAAAATATCAGTAGTAGCACGGAGTCTGGAATTGTGCCCGGTATATGGCAATAGGCTCACCCCCTATTACATGGGACTCATAACATAAATAGTGAAAAGTGGGCGTTACTTCTGTGTGCACCCCTGCCTAGCCCTTCGGGGATAAAAGGCGTGATTTTATGTTATGCTAACTGGAGAAAGGTCAGACTCGGATACGTGACGTACACAGCCAAAATACTCCGCTGTATTTTTACATTTGAAACTATTTGTATAAGGTTTTTACTATTGGCATACGGTGAAGGAAAACATTGTGAAGAAAACTAAACTTTTACCTTCTAAATAATTATAAGTTTGAAATCGCCAACCCCATTGAGCTAGCGTGGTGATTAATGATCATACCTCTTCCGTGTAAGAGGAGGCCTTTGGTCAGCAGTGGCCACTTATAGGCTCTTGATGATGATGTTTAAGAAGATAGTATGATATAAATGCTTTTATCTTTTAGTACTGGAATTGTCTCCTCGGAGTTTAAAATATTTGGCTCTTATCCCTCGTTACTTGTTGTCGCCACAATATGTCTTCTTCCATCCCCCCCTATCAGACGTCATCACATCATGAACTCTTGATAAAATATTTTCTGATACAAGTATTTTATTAAAAGTCAAAGTAAATTTTATTTTAATTAAACCCTAATTTGTTACTTTTGAAACGTCAACAGATACAAAATTAATCATAGTCTTTCGGGTTAGCCTGGGTGAGGCGGGGGGGAGTGTCAGACTCTTACTGACTAAAAACCACCCCGTTCATTCTCCTGCACGTCGAACCGGAGCCCCGGTAGCCCGTTTGGTTCTCCGCGACTCCGAATCGGCATCGGCCCTGTTGGGCCCCATCTGTGGTAGTCTGATGGATCTTTGAGGCGCGCGCAAAACGCTGCGCGCCGTACGCTCGGGTCTGTTTCTGGTCGGACGGGGAGCCACCCATGCTCGCCGTCCGCAGGCCAGCGCTTACGGTGGCTGGAGATCGTCCCGCGATCCCCGACGCCCGGTGTGTCCTTTGCGATGGCTGGGTTGTGAGGACGCGTCCACGTTACGCATCCCGTCACCTCCTCAGCTAGCATAACTGCTTCGCAAAAGAAGGAGACGGCATCCCAGTCCCCCTCGCTCCGCATCATGGTCCGTCAGTGAAGCTAGGTGCTTATTCCAAAATGTAGATTCCAGTGAAGAACGTTGCTCAGTTTTTTTTGCTCCCAGATGTAGTTGGCATACAAACGTTATAAAATTATCAAGTTCCATGAGATTGATTTGGTCTACCCCCTGAAGTGGAAGCGTATTTATACAATATGAATTAACAAGTTATTTTAGTCAGTTATCATTTTGGAAAACCCACAATCAGATCAATAAAGCACACAATAAAATATGAGTCATATACACGAGCAAAGCTGAGTCACCCGATATCAGTAACATTATAATTATTATAATAGTAATGTCAACTGATAATTTAAAAAATATGAGTTCCGTACATCATGCTACTTAAACTTCTTGACTGGACATCTACACTATATGAGCTGCTTATGCTGCTGCTCATGACGATACCTAAGTACGTGTATCGCCTGGACAGTCAACCTCGCTACATCCTTGTTGACTGGACATCTACACTACATGAGCTGCTGTTTACATGTGAACATTAGCTCATGACGATACCTAAGTACGTGTGTCGCCTGGACAGTCAACCTCGCTACATCCTGTTGACTGGACATCTACACTACATGAGCTGCTGTTTACATGTGAACATTAGCTCATGACGATACCTAAGTACGTGTGTCGCCTGACAGTCAACCTCGCTACATCCTTGTTGACTGGACATCTACACTATATGAGCTGCTGTTTACATGTGAACATTAGCTCATGACGATACCTAAGTACGTGTGTCGCCTGGACAGTCAACCTCGCTACATCCTTGTTGACTGGACATCTACACTACATGAGCTGCTGTTTACATGTGAACATTAGCTCATGACGATACCTAAGTACGTGTGTCGCCTGGACAGTCAACCTCGCTACATCCTTGTTGACTGGACATCTACACTACATGAGCTGCTGTTTACATGTGAACATTAGCTCATGACGATACCTAAGTACGTGTGTCGCCTGGACAGTCAACCTCGCTACATCCTTGTTGACTGGACATCTACACTACATGAGCTGCTGTTTACATGTGAACATTAGCTCATGACGATACCTAAGTACGTGTGTCGCCTGGACAGTCAACCTCGCTACATCCTTGTTGACTGGACATCTACACTACATGAGCTGCTGATTACATGTGAACATTAGCTCATGACAAAGTGTAAATTCGGTTATACAATTTCTTACCTAACTAAAATATCATTGTTTGCTAAACACGGATTATTGATAACAATGATAAATCTATTATATTACATATTTTCCTTATTCATTTAGGTATATTTGGAACAAAATTGTATTATATTATCTAACTTAAGCTGAATTCGATAACAAATAGCACACGTTGCGTGAACAATAGGTACCTGAATATAATGTATAATAATAAAGATTGTGGATAGCTGTTTTCCGTGCCTCTGTCCTCGTGGTCAGAGGCGAAAACATCGCTCTCCAACTTTCTAACTATCCCTAGACAAAAATCGTAGGTACCATAAAATCGCTGCGTTTTTGACGTGATAGAAAGATTAACACACACGTTCCTATTTACAATATTAGTATGAATATGGATGGATAGATTCGTCGTGATGGCGCGGAGGTTTATGACGCCCGCTTCTCATGCATGAGGATGCGGGCTCGCAACCTACCAACGGCAAGTACCAATGTGACTTTTTCCAAGTTATATGTACCTTCTAAGATTATTCAGACACCACTGACAAACGGTGAAGGAAAACATCGGGAGGAAACCTGGGCTTATTATTTCTAATTATAAGTTTGTAATCGCTAACCCGCATTGAGCAAGCGTGGTGATTAATGCTCAAACCTTCTCCGTGTGAGAAGAGGCTTTGCTCAGCAGTGGGCATTTAAAGGCTGTTGATGATGATGATGATGGATAGATAGAAGCTGTATAGATTGTGTGAACAATGATATATAGGTAAGAGAAAGGAGTGTGTGATGTGATGACGTCTGATAGGGGAGAATGGAAGAAGACATATTGTACACAGAAGTAACTTGGAAAATAAGATCGAATGTCCTGATCCCCTAAGAATATCGGGATAAATGGTAACCTATGAAACTCCTTGGAAAGTAATCCTTACGATGGTAAAAGAATTTTCCAAATCGGTTCAGTAGTTTCGGAGTATATCCAATGTAAATATACACAACACAACATAATCTTTCGTCTTTATAACTATCTATCTATAGATTAGGTACCTATGCATACACGATGAATGA